AGTTCTGTATCGACGGAGTTGAGGCTGAGGCTTAATCGCTACCTTATCTTGACTTACAGGTTCTACTCATCTGTTCCGATATATAGATAACCTTAGACATATAGATTGAGAGGTGAATACTACGTATACAGTCATGCAATGAAACCCTAGTTTTAACTTTTAGGCTCAGAAAACTCTTAGTTGATTCGGGAGAGCTGGTGAAGCCCAACTTCCCAAGTCAGTAGGCTTGGAAACCGAAGCGATCTAGAGCGCTCAGTGAGCCCAAAGGCATCAGCAGAGGCCAAGAATAGTAACAAATATAAGTTAGTGGGTGCTGAAGCTACTTGTATATAATAATGTAGATCAACTAGAATACTATTCACGTATGAACTGGGAAATAAGTAGAACAAGGGAGAAATTGATGTCCGAGGCATACCCTAAGTACTGCATTTATAGCTAAGGTGGATCGAGATTCAAGAAGTGAGATAATTATTCATGGCTAAAAGCCATGATCCATCACAAGTCACATCCAAAGAAATTTTCCCTCGTGTTCAAGCCCCAGTCTGAATCATGAAAGACTGAAGAAAAGACCCATTGCACGGATTAATCTCTACCGGTTTGGCAGAATTGATGATCTCCACGCAATAGTCGCTCACGCCATGAGGCTTGATGGTGCATTGGTAACCAACATACGTGCCGGGATACTCTAGCGCGTTAGAAGCACAAAAGCCGCAGGATATATCCCAGAGCTGAGTACTACGGGATTAAAATAAACGAAAATGACAAGCAGAACAGATTGGAGCTTATGTGTCATTCCCACTATCTGAAGCCTGTCCAAGCGCGAGATTAACACCATCGAGAGAAGTGACAGCGAGATTATTGTTGTCGATATCTCTGAGAAGTACGATTAGACTTAGTAATAAATAAATGATGATCAATGACTTACTTTATAATGTAGCTGGGAGGATCTTGGCCGTTCTGTTGAAGGTGCCAGTCAACCGTAATCCAAGCAGGGGTAATCGAGCCAATAAGCGGAAGTCCAGGTCTAGGAGTAAAGCTGATACCCAATTCCATGTACGGTATACGACCATACTGCATGCTTATCAGCGAGACCCCAGCTCCCATGGCGTTTGGGTAACAGAGGTTTTCCTGACGGCTGACAGGAGTCCCGGACACGATAGCAGCCCCTGCGATAATGAGGAGAGAAGAGAATAGCATAGTAGGTTGGAAAACGATAAGGATGCTGATGACTTTGAGTGCAAAGTTTTTGCGAACTTGTGATGAAGTCGGCGACGGTCCTCGCTGTTCATATGCACCAGAAGATGGTTCTTTCCCGTTCAAGATGGTTGCGGGGCCTGCTTTGAGCGTCGGAGTCTTATTCAGCTTTGTCGGTATATGGGGAGAAGACTGGAGCCCAGACGTTTTTCAGAACTCGGTTAGATGTAGATTGTTTTCGACAAGATTCCAGACGGCAAGATACTGTATAGGCAGTATGATCAGATGTTTCGACCAGGCAAGCCGAAGCCGAAGGTCTGCGGACTATTGCCTGGCGTGGCGTAGACGAGACCTGGTGTTTAAAAGGCAATTTCATTCGGTGCAGTTCTCGACGCCGGACCTATCCGCGGGCTGACCGGTGCAAAGTGTAGGTGCAGAGTTCGAGACTAGATTTGGGGGTAACGGCGTCTGGTACAGTTTTAAGATTTATAGGGTGATGACAGGACAACATCGCAGATGAGCGCTGAGCTACTGACGCATGACGAAGTATGGGAAAAAGGGTCTTATGTAATCCCAAAACCACGTGGAAAGTTCTGCTACAGACAACCGGGGTTTTAGTGGGATTGAGTCTGATTTACGCCAAACGGGTCCCCGAGGGAGATAGGCAAGCTGCCTTCCCCGGGCAGACTCTGAGTCCCACACTCTGTGTAAAAGCATTTCCTCGGGGAGACACCTAGTGTACTTGGCAGCGGCAGCAGACACCCAACACATTATCGGCAGCCTGAGCCGGCTTCTTATTTTCCGTCCTCTATGATTTCTACCTGCAAGGTCCCAATCCCTTGCGCAAACTGCGGGTTGTCTGTATTGTAATGACGTTGTCGGTGCGATATAGATACGTCCCCAACGACAAAAAAAGTAGAGCGACCAGCATTGCATAAACTCGTGGGAACGACCTAGGTAAGGCGCATTTGGGCAACCACCTCAACCTTAACGATCACTTTGTGCACGTACCTTACTGCCCTTTGCATAATCATCTGCACTCGCAGAACTGTTTTTATTCTTCATTCAGTTTTGGTGGGCTGACCTCTGCCGTCGAAAACCCTGTAGCCTTTAGAGGTCTCGAACAAGTTTTGAATTGAAAAAGTAGAATAAACAGTGCGAGAAAATTGGCGAGTGCAGATGGCAGTAGAATGATTGCAGTGAATACACTGCTTTATTTCTCGTCTTCCTTTTTTTCCAGCGCTAGTTTTATTTACATTACCCATCACAGACTGATACATCCAGAATCATGCGATCATTGATGAACTTTCTCTCAAAAACTTCCCCGGGCCCAGATCCTCTAGCGCATCGTCTTTCCTCCCTCGCAGGAGCTTCCGCTTCTCATCTTGATTCTCGCCCCAACTCCCCTTGTTCCTCATGAGTAACGTATGGCGAGTGGTAGATGACACGGACGATCATATCGAGTATGTGGATGGGGCGACCCTGACATTCGGAAATGTTCAGCAAGAGAACATCGGTCTCTCCCTTAATACCGCAAGTTTAAACGGAAATGTCTTTAATAATACCGTTCATGACGCGACAAGCTTTACATTCCGGTTTAACGGTGAGTCTGAAGTTAGTTCCCCAACAGGAAGTTGTATTTTACACCTCGTTTGCAGGGACTTCGCTTGCAATTGTATATGGGGCCGTAGCTGGATTGATAGACATTGTCAAAATTGGTACTTTCGGGGCTCCGGAGACGATTACCCCCAGCTGTCTGTTAGACGGGAAGCCAATACGGGGTTTCGGTTTTTCTGGGCCTGAGGTGGGGACATCGCTGAACAATCAAGTATTATGCAGCGTAGATCCGCTCAGTTACGACGGTAAATTGGTCGAAGGAGAGCACGAGCTTTTCTTCAATGTCAGCCATTCACTCACTTCGCGGTTTTTCGTGGATTACATTGTATATGAGGCAATGCCCGGAGCGTCTGTGGATGGAGACGTCATCCAACTGGGGAACAATTTGGCTGAGCAAAACAAAGCTGATCTACTCGGTACCACTCCCCAAGACTCACAATTGACCTTTGGTTCGGGATGGAGTAAGGATGGTGCAACATCTACCAGTACACCAGGATCCTCGGTCACCGTAAAATTTAATGGTCTGTCACTGTATCAAACTTTCCGTGTTGAAAGGACTAAAATCCCTTAGGGACCGCAATCCAATTGTACGGTGAATTATCCGGAGGTGTCTCCAATCTAGCAACTAGTCAACTGGATGATCAGGCACCTTAGCCATTTACACTATCTCCTCCAGGAGAGTCTACTAAAACAAATCAGTTATTTTTCAATATGTCTTCACTGAGCCCTGGGGAACATACTGTAGTGGTGACCCACAATGGAACTACTTCTGGGATGCCCTTGACCATTGACTACTTTTTGGTCACTTCTCTCACGGCCGCGGAACGGGTCTCTCTGGAGTCGACTTCAACATCAGCTCCAACCCCAACTTCCTCATCCCCAAACTCTCCACCAAGCCAGCCATCCACCCTGAAGCATGATTCAAAGAAAGTAATCATCGGTGGTACCCTAGGCGGTGTAGCAGCTCTTTGTCTTGTGGCATTGTTAATATTTTTGTGGACGAAAAGACGAGGACGAGCGGAGGGCTCAGGGGTAGGAGTGCTTGACCCGTTCGTTCAAGGTTCTGCACCAGATTATGATCCATATAATCCTGATTCTACGAGTCACCCGAAAGCTCGTGAATTAGCCTCTGCAGGCCAACAGCCGAACGGTGGGCCGTCAACAACTGGTCAAAATGGAGAGTTCAATACGATGAGGCTGGGAATTTTGAAACTTCAACAGCGTTTGGCTGTTCGGCCTGAAGTCAGGCCTACGCAAACCAGCGAATCTCAGGCTATGGATGAGAGGCTGCAAGAAGCTCGAGGGATGATTCATACGGACAGTGGGTGGAGGATGAGAGATCAAAGGGCGCTTTCTAATCCTGCTGATATTGAGATACCTCCTGGTTATACAGAAGCATAATGATTCATGATCTTTAATAAGTCATAGATATTTTGTTGGTACTTTCTGTGATAGAATTGGTTTGAATAAGAAGAAGAGATATGGAAGAAGTCCCAGAGCATTTTTGCGTGCCACTTGTGATTGCAGAAGTACTTGTGAGTCCTAGTGGTGTAATGCCGTACATTAATCACCTTGTAATTTTCTATATCTTTACTGCTATCCACTTAATGGTCTACAAGGGTTGGATGTACAATTTACAACGAATCAAATTTTGTCTGAAGGACCATCACTTTTTGAACACACTAGTATTCTTTCTAGAATTGTAAGGAAGTCTCAGCAATTATAAATAGCTATTCTGAGTGGTACACTGGGTGCAGTTTAAAATAAAACATGCTAAATTATTTTGAAGTTATTTTGAAGTTAGGCTAACTTAGGCCACAGATTTTTAAAATGATACTGGTCATATAATTTTATTTTAATGGTTCCTTAAAGTAAACAATATCATTAAAATAAGATCAAGATTTTATTGGCTGTATTATTTTAAAAATTTGTGGCCTAATTTGAAAGTAACTTAATAATCTATTATGTTTTAGTTTGAGCTGCACCTAGTGGTATAAAATCTAGATCATTGTGTTTAGATCATTGTCAAATTTAGCTTTTCTCATCACTAGACTGTCAGTGCTAAGTCTTTCAAACTCTCAAATTTACACTTCAGCCCTTGTGCTTAATTTCTTGTTGGAATTACTAGCATAGGCATCCCTATACAAGTGAAATCCTCTATTTGTGCCACTACTTGATTGATATCCAATGGTCTAGTAGCTCAGCTGGTTAGAGCATGGTCACTAGTATTGCCATGGTCTTGGGTTTAACCCCCAGTTGATCCAAGTATTATTCATAAGATCACTTGACCTGTACAAGCTAATGATTTTACTGGCAACCTCAGCTACTTTTAGAGGCATTTGAGTTAATGTCAGCAATGACTCAGCTGGGGAACTGGAAGGCTCTCAGACCACCATACAGGGACAGAAGATAGCAAAAGAGAATAGATTATGAGGCCAGAGGTTTACCAAAGGTCTCGTCCTTACTTGTTCGGGGTCGCTGAGTGTGGCTATGTCAAAATGACTGCCAAACCCATTTTTGACTCAGCCGGTTAAGTTAAGTACCGATTTGGTGATGTTTAATTTAGAAGCTATAGACTTTTTTCAGCCCGACAATATACTACGATACTGGTCATTAAATTCCGGCCTCGTTCTTGCCATGCCGAAGGCGATGGCCCATATCTTTCGTAGTGAGTACGCCAGTAATTACAAGGTCAGAGGTTTACCAAAGGACCTGTCAAAAATAGGAATTGAGCTGCGATGTCTTTGATTGTCTGCAATTGTAATACTAGAGAGGAATGGCTGTGGTAAATAACCATACATGACAAACTTTACAAACTCCTTATAGCATATAATTGTGAGCTCCAAAGAATTGTAATAGAAATTAAGCATATGACTCGCCTTTGATTTATTGTACCAAAGTGGATGAATGGAACCCACCGATGAAACTCTGTATCACCAATTTGTTGCCGCAATGACTTCACTGCTTCATGTAATGCATATGCTGAATTCATTCCAATATTTTGCAGATTGCTATGGTATCCTAGGAGCTTTGCATATAATTGCTCAATAACAAGTGGTGCATCATTATCCCCAATGGACCACATCGTAGCAATAACACTTGGATAACCTACAGCAAGCATACCAGCTGCAAGATGGACAGCTTCTTCAGGAAGCTTCTCATCCCCTGTAGCTGTCTGACATGCTGAGAGAACTGCAAGCTCAGCATTCCTGAGGGAAAGCTTCATCAATGCTGGAAGCCTGAGTTTTCCATCATAGAGAATGAGAGCACTGTTCAGAGGATCCTGTAGGTCTTGAACCCCATGACAAGCAAGATGGACAAAATTGTACTTCCCCATCTCACTTATAACAGCCTCAACAGTTGCTGCATCATGTGTGAAGTGGTGGCTATGCTTGGGAGAAGTGTACTTTTGAATGGCCTTTACCTCCTCCACAGTGCCAGGCAGAGGAGTCTGCCCAGGTGTATTAGGCTGTGAGACAATGAGAACACTTGGAATCACTGTTGCTTCCTGCTTGGGTTTGGAATCAGAATGACACATAGCAGTCAATGTAGTTGTATATGAAGATACCACAAAGTCTGAGATGTTTATATTCTCGATAGGATTGTCAGAACCATAAATACCTGCAGCATGGAGAGGGAGAAAGGCAAGTGGTCCTGTTGCACACCATGTGATATGAGGTAGGTTGTTTTCAACAAAATCAGGTAACTGTGCATGATGCTTCATTAGTACATGCTATCTAGCTGAATTACTACTAACTTACCAAATCCTTAATCCCAGACAGAATGGGTTTGACAACAGCGTTCCACAATGTTTCTAAAACATGTTGCAAGCTAACACTGAAGGTGCTGACTATTGGATTTGAATATGATTTACGATCACGAAGATGATTCTTTTCAAGAGATGAGAGCAAATCAGAGTGCAGCCTACTTGCCAAAGTATGAGAAAGAAGTGGAAGGGGGACATGAGTGATTTGTCCAGAAAACCACAGAACTAGTGCATCACAACAAGAGCTGTGCACATTCACAATGATGATAGGTCCATGTTTTGCTGAAGGGGTGAGTTCAGCTAGATTCTTTGGCTTCAAAAAACCTTCAAAACCATTCAGTCTTCTGACATCTATGATTAGTTTTTCATACTGGGTAACCAATCTATGATGTTTTTGTGTTTCTTGTTCAGCAGTGTTTTGTCTGATAGATGATTCAATATGCCTCTGAATGCCATGACCTGTAGATATCCCTGCATTTTCAAGGGCCTGAGAGACCATCTTTAGCTCATTAGCAACTTGTGGGTATTTCTGATGGAGGTCATCCAGTGGTAACCGCAATTGGAGTATCTGGCCCCAAACAACACTCCGACCTTCCTCCAACCACACAATTGCTTGGGAAAGATTTCCTGCAGCAATTGCAGTTGAAACTGCTGCATTGATAATTCTACCAATATGAGGTAGTTCCCTATAACGATAATTCACTTTCTGCCCCAGCCAAACAACCTGAGGAATTAGCTCAAAAAATCTTGTGTATGCTGGTAGAGCTAAGGCAGGAGATGAAGATAATTTTGCCCAGGATCTGGCAGCCCAAAGTTGAACAGAAGGTTTGCCATATGAATGAAGACTTGCTGTTTGGTAGAAGTATAAGGCAGAGTGCAAGTCAGGAGGATCAGCCAGAAGATTGAATTGGGACTGAAATGCATCCCCAAGGTTGCTCAACCAGGCAGCTTTGTCAGGGTGACCATCAGGAGTAAGATCCACTGCCTGCTTTTTTGCATTAATTGCCCTTTTAATGTCTGAGGGATCCCTGAGATGTTCAAATCGGGCCTGAAAGGCAGTTCCAAGGTTGTTTAACCAAAAAGGCTTATTGGGGTGACCATCAGGAGTGATATCTACAGCCTGCTGCTTTAAAGAAATTGCTTTCTCAATGTCTGAGAGTTCACTAAGGCAGTGAAATCGGTACTGGAAAGTAATCCCAAGGTTATTCAGCTGGGAAGGCTTGGTAGGGTGACCATCAGGTGTGAGGTCCACTGCTTGCTGCTTACTATCAATTGCCTTCTCAATATCCTGGAGTTCACTAAGATGCTGAAAGCGGGAGTCAAAGGCATTCCCAAGGTTGCTCAGCCTGGAAAGTTTTTTAGGGTGACCATCAGGAGTGAAATCTACTGCCTGCTGCAATGCAGCAATTGCCTTCTCAATGTCTGGGAGCTCACCAAGACGCTCAAATCGAAAATGGAAGGCAGTCCCAAGGTTGTTCAGTATGAATGGCTTATCAGGATGATCATGAGGAGTAAGATTCAAAGCCTGCTGCAAAGTATTGATTGCCTTCTCAATGTCTGCAAGCTCACCAAGATGCTCAAACTGCAACTGGAGAGCACTCCCAAGATTATTCAAGTGGGAAGGCTTCTTGGAGTGACCATTGGGGGTGAGATCTGCAGCTTGCTGCTGTAAACTAATTGCCCTCTCAATGTCTGAGAATGTCCCTAGGTGCTCAAATTGGGATTGAAAGGCATTCCCTAGGTTCTTTAACAAGGAAGGCTTTTCAGGATGATCATCAGGAGTCAAATCCACAGCCTGCTGCAGACAATCAATTGCTTTTTCAATATCTTGTAGCTGCCCAAGATGCTGAAATTGAGACTTGAAAGCATTCCCAAGGTTATTCAACCTGGAAGGCCTTTTAGGATGCTTCTCAGGAGTAAGATTCACAGCCTGCTTCTTTACATCAATTGCCTTCTCAATATATGGGAGCTTACCAGAATGATCAAACTGTAATTGGAAGGCAGTTCCAAGACTGTTCAACCAAGAAGATTTATCAGGATGATAATCTGGAGTGAGGTTTACAGCTTGCTGTTTAGCAAAAATTGCCTCCTTGATGTCTGAAAATTCACCAAAATGCTCAAATTGCAACTGGAAAGCATCCCCAAGGTTATTCAATCTGGAAGGCTTTCTTGGATGTTCATCAGGAGTGAGGTTCACAGCCTGCTGCTGTAAATCAATTGCCTTCTTGATGTCTGGGAGCTTACCAAGATGCTCAAATTGTGACTGGAAGGCTGTTCCAAGACTGTTCAGCCAAGAAGATTTATCAGGATGATAATCTGAAGTAAGATTTACAGCTTGTTGCTTGGCAAAGATGGCCTTCTCAATGTCTGAAAATTCACCAAAATGCTCAAAACATAACTGAAAAGCATTTCCAAGATTATTCAATCTGAAAGGCTTTTTAGGATGTTCATCAGGAGTGAGAGTCACAGCCTGCTGCTGCAAATCAATTGCCTTCTTGATGTCTAGGAGTTTACCAAGATGTTCAAATTGTGACAGGAAGGCTATTCCGAGGCTGCTCAGCCAAGAAGATTTATCAGGATGGTAATCTGGAGTGAGATTTACAGCTTGCTGCTTGGCAAAGATGGCCTTCTCAATGTTGAGAATTTCACCAAAATGCTCAAATTGCAATTGGAAAGCATTTCCAAGGTTATTCAATCTGGAAGGCTTTTTAGGATGTCCATCAGGAGTGAGATTCACGGCCTGCTGCTGCAAATCAATTGCCTTCTTGATGTCTGTGAGTTTACCAAGGTGCTCAAATTGAGTGCAGAAGACACTTCCAAGGTTATTCAGCCAGGAAGGTTTCTCAGGATGTCCATCAGGAGTGAGATCCACTGCCTGCTGCTTGGCAACAATTGCATTCTCAATATCTGGGAGCTCACCAAGATGTTCAAATTTGAGTTGGAAAGCAGTTCCCAGACTGTTTAGCATGGATGGCTTGTCAGGATGGTCATGAGAGGTAAGATCCACAACCTGCTGCTTGATAACAATTGCCCTCTTAATGTCTGAGAGCTCACTGAGATGTTCAAAACGGAGTTCAAAAGCATTCCCAAGGTTGTTCAGATGGGCAAGCTTATGAGAATGGCTATCTGGAGTGAGATTCACTGCCTGCTGCATTAGATTAATTGCTTGCTCAATGTCTGAAATAGCACCTAGGTGCTCAAACTTGGACTGGAAGGCATTGCCAAGATTGTTCAACCAGGAAGACCTATCAGGGTGGCCATCAGGAGTGAGATCTACAGCCAGATGCTTGGCAGCAATTGCTTTCTCAATGTCTGCATGCTCATCAAGATGTTGAAATCGTAAATTAAAGGCATTTCCAAGAGTGTTCAACCAGAATGGTTTATCAGGATGGCTATCAGGAGTGAGATCCACTGCTTTCTGCAAAGCACCAATTGCCTTCTCAATGTCTGGGAGATTTCCAAGACACTCAAATTGAGACTGAAAGGCATAGCCAAGAT